TTTGTTGGTATGTGGTGCTGAGGATCGAACCCGGGCCGCACGCATACCAGTGAGCGCGCTACCGCTTGAGCCACAACCCCAGCCCTCTTTTTCACTTTTGAACATGGAAATTTGGGTATACATTTTTACACTTTTTAATACATGCATTTAAAGGTATCAATGTTTGAATGGTTTGCATCTTTCCCTAGGAAATGCTAAAGAGAAAGAGAATGGTGAAAGAGTAACAGGCCCCGGAATGCAGTCCTGGCACTAGCAAGAAGGGCAGGCTGGAGAGGCTGCCAAGGGCACCCAAGGCAAGGCTGAGGCCCTGGTCAGGCGCACCCACCGAGATATTCTCAGGACAATCAGTGGTTGTGATACAAAAATTAAGTAAAATCCCCTACTCTTATGTTTCAATTAAAAGCTCATAATTGTTTTTTTAATCTTCTYAATATTTACTCTTTAGTTGTAACTAGACACAATATCTTTATTTTATTTATTTTTATGTGGTGCTGAGGATCAGACCCAGGCCCTCGCACGTGCCAGGTGAGAGCTCTACCTCTGAGCCACAGCCGCAGCCCCGAGAAACACTTGTTTTGAACACATTTTCTCCACTGTTGTCGGAGGAGGTTCAGCTTGAGGACACTGGAGAAAGTGGACACTTCACAGCCAGGCTGTCAGCAGGAGAACTAAGTTACTCTTCCACAAGGACGTGGGATTGGGGAGCCGCCACTGTCCAAAGGAGAGTGACGTGGCCACCAAGAACAATGATGAAGGGACAGTGGTACAGGCGGGTCACTAAGGGTGCCAGAAGTTCTTTCATAAGAAACAACTACTAGAAATCTTGTGCTAAAGAATTCAGCATGCTCATCTGCACCCAAGGCTCCCAGGAGGGTGCCACGGCCTCCAGGTGCAGAGCCCAACCTTGGGGCCGTCTCTCCAGGGCTGCCTGAGCCCAGAGGGACTCCACCCCAGCAGGCACCAGCAGTCCCACTGCTCCCACGGACACCAGAGGCATCTGGAGCGCTCTGCAGCCCTCACAGGCCTTGAGCCCAGGGTGGAGACCGACAGGGTGCCACCTACTGCACTGCCCACAGAGAGCCCGACCTACACAGTGCCTCCCCAGCAGGTTCCTGCCATGGAGCCCCCTTGAGGCACTGCCCCGGGATCCTACGAGCAGCTGATCAGCAGGCCCCTAGCTGGCCTGCCCAGTCCTGCCCAATCATGAGATCTTTCCCACTCTCTCACACCCTGGGAAATACATGAGCAGCCCACCTTCAGTGGCTCAGCCTGCAGAGACCCCCAGGAAGCAGCCAGTGTCCCCGCCCCCCCTCCCACTTCCCTGGAAGCAGTCAGACAGCCCTGCCCAGCAGCCCTCAGTCCTGAGAAGCAGCCAGGAGGCCCCACCCATTCTCCTGCGGCCCCCAGAAGCATGAAAACCAAGGTAACCAGACAACTGCAAAGGAAAACAACTCTCTAGCGAGAGACCCCAAAGAAAAGACAATCAACAAATTATCTGAAAAGTAATCAAAAATAATGATTCAAACTAGGTGTGGTGGCCTGAACTAGGTGTGGTGGTCTAAACAACTAGGTGTGGTGGTCTAATACACCTGTAGTACCAGCTACCCTGGAGGATGAGGCAGGATTGCTTGAGCCCAGGACTTTGAAGTTAGTCTGGCAACCAAGAAAGACCCCATTTTAAAAAGAAGAAGAAGGAGGAGGAGGAGGAGGAGGAGGAGGAGGAGGAGGAGGAGGAGGAGGAGGAGGAGGAGGAAAATTCTAAGGAAACTTTTTTTTTTGTGTGTGTGTGTGTGTGTTTTTATTGGTTATTCAAGACATTACAAAGATTGCAGAATCACATCGGTTACACATACACATTTTTACATAATGCCCTATTAGTAACTGTTGTATTCTGATACCTTTCCTATCCTCTACTATCCCCCCTCCCCTCCCCTCCCATCTTCTCTCTCTACCCCATCTACTGTAATTCATTTCTCTCCTTATTTTTTCCCATTCCCCTCACAACCTCTTATATGTAATT